CCTCTGCCACACAGGGACTGACATCACTGACATCACACCCGCGTTGATTGTATTGTCCAAGTGTGTGGAATTCCTTCACTGAGCTCGTTACGTGGAAATAAAATGTGGTTGGTTTTAAAGCTGAACCTTGTTGCCCATCTGTTGTCCGTGGCCTCAGGCCGTCCAGCTCCGCTCCAGGGTGCCCAGCTCCAGCCCCTCGCAGAACGAGTGTGGCCGACGGGCCTTGTGCTGCAGAGAGTGAACTCAGCTCATGCCCCACAGTGGGGCTGCTGCCCCTGGCAGGGATGGCTCCCGGCACTTCCCTGGTCTCACCCTCCCAGGCTGAGGTGAGAAAGATGCAGCCCCTGCACCCCTCCTGCATTCCTGCCCTTCAGCCCTCCCCTGGTCCCCCCTGCTCACCGGTCGCTGCCTGGAAAGCTGGTGGAGGAGAGGGAATGGAGCCCACTGCATGGGCTCCATGGGCCAGCTGGACACAGAGATATCACTGGCTTTGCCCGAGTCCACCATGGGGTCATTCATGCTGCTGGAACTGGTGTCCCAGTCGTAATGGAAGCTGGGAAAAGAATCCATGGGTAATTAAGAGATGGGGGAGGTGGGGGTAAGAGCTGGGCTGGTGCTGGGAAAGCAGCCGGGGGACAGAAGAGCAGGACCCTGTGCTGGTGTCGTGCTCCAGGGACGATGCACTCGCAGCACGGGCAGTGCCGGGCTCGGCCCCACAGCCAAGGGAGCACTTGGAGCTGTGGCCGTGCCCATGATCCATGGTGGGGGTGTCCCTGGCTGTTCTGCCCTTTGCCAGTGGAATTGGAAACTTCCAGGGCCCTTTTTCTATGGACACCCCTGGAAGCTGATTAGACTTTCCCATGAGCACACAGAGCCACAGTTTCCCACAGATGTGAACCCTCCTCTGTTACAGCAGTCCCAGCACGCACAGTTCCTCACATGGGGACAAAAAAACAGGCATTGCTCCATGGACTCTAAAGGCTGGGGGGTGTAAGAGCTCCCAGCACTGTCGATGAGCACAGGGCAGGGGCTGCAAATCAGTGGTGCCAGGATTGCCTGTGTGCCCCAAACCCCTCCCTGCCCTGCATCACCCCGGCCCACCGAGCAAGCCAAAGGCCAGGCCCTGCTACACCGGCTCAGCAAACCACCCCTACCTGGGCCGGTACGGCGGGCGGGCACACTTGGCACCGTCGGGGACACCGGAGTCCTCCTGGCAGCTGCAGAAGCCGTTGTCCAGGATCTGGAGGTGCAGCAGCTCCTCTGAGTTGCTGAAGGCGGGGTTGTCCAGGGAGCTGGCCGAGGGCAGCCCCGAGCGAGACCAGTACTGGGCCGAGACATCGTCCAGGCGGCAGAACCGCCGGTAGCTGTGGGACAGGGCAGGGCCGTGCACACGTGTGTGTGTGTGTGTACACACAGAAACAGGGCAGGGCCATGCACACGTGTGTGTGTGTGTACACACAGAAACAGGGCAAGGCCGTGCACACGTGTGTGTGTATACACAGAGAAAGACACGGGGCAGGGCAGGGCAGGGCACACGTGTGCGTGTGTACACACAGAAACAGGGCAGGGCCATGCACACGTGTGTGTGTACACACAGAAACACACAGGGCAGGGCCATGCACACATGTGTGTGTGCACACACACAGTGCAAGCACATGCACATGTGTGTACACACATGTACTAACACACGTGTGTATACATACACGGGCCACACACGTGCATGTGTGTACACACATACACAAGGTAAGCATGTGCACACGTGTGTACACACATGTACTAATGTGTGTACACACACAGGGCAGGCACATGCACACGTGTACACACATGTTCTAACACACGTGTACACACACAGAGCACAGACGTGCACACACCATGAGCACGTGCACCCCACCCCACCGACTGCATGGCTACACAGATTGCAGGTTCCCACCCAAGTTTCCAGTGTCCAGGGAAGGGCCCAGCCGCACACCCAGGGTGGGGACAGAGCCCGTGACATCAAACAACCTCTGGCCACAGCCCCGTGGTGGTTGGGGCTGTTACAGTGGTTTTCTGGGGACAATCCCCCCATGGCACTTCACAGAACAGGCAGCAGGGCCAGGACAGCGGGGGCTCCCCCCGGGGCTCCCCCCGAGCCGCTCTGGCAGGGTTGTGCTGCAGCCCCGCTCCCCCCCAGCCCGGGCAGCAGCACAGAGTGACCCTGTGCCAGGGGCAGGACTGGGTGTCCCGGGCACCGCGGAGCTGGGGGCCCATCGGCACATCTCAAGCTTCTCTCCACAGCCCTGCAGTGCTGCAGCACAGCCCACGGCCCTTCAGTGCCTCGGCGGCCCCATCCAGCCCCGCGGCCCCCGGCACTCCTTTCCGGCCTGGACGCCACTTCCCGTGGCTGTGAGCATCCCCCAGCACCGAGCACACACCCCGGACCCCCACCCAGCCACTCCGGGCCCCACACGTGCTCCCCCCGCCCCAGCACCTCTATCAGCCGTCCCACAGTGTTTTCCTTGGCAGAGCTCAGCCCCGGCTCAGCCCAGCCCAGCCGCCCCACCACGGCTCTCCCTGCTGCCCCTCGCACCCGGCACCCCAGGAGGGGCAGAAGTTCCCTCCCTCCAGGACCCCAAGGCCCCAGTCCCGGTCCCCACGGCCCCACGCTCCCACCTGCTGCGGGTCTGGTCAGCCCTGGCCTCCAGCAGCAGGGCCTTGAAGCGGCGGACGGCGAGAGTGGCGAGGACGGCACCCAGGAGGACGATGCTGAGCAGGATCCCGGCTGCTGCACCCAGCAGGCTCTGCTGGGTCACCCGGTAGTCACAGCGCAGACCCATGAACCAGAAATCGCTGCCCACGGGGCACCTGCGCCAGGGGGGTCCATCAGCGCCGGGGGGATGGCACCCAGCACCCCGGGCTGTCCCCAGGGCACTCACTGGCAGAGGGGCTGGCGGTCCCGCGGGTGGGTGCAGATGCCCTGGTTCTTGCAGTAGTCGCGGTGGCAGAGGGAGGTACAGGTCACGTTCCCATCCGCCCCAGACACGCAGGCAAAGCCGGTCGGGCAGGCAAAGAACACAGTGCAGGGGTCCAGTGTCCGCACTGCAGGGACAGGGCCTGGCTGTGCCACCCTCCCCACAGAGCAGGGAGCCAGGGCCAGGCGTGTGCCCGCCTTGCCACAACCCCTGCAGGCACCAGGCTCCAGGCCCAGGGGAGGGTCGGCGATGGTGCAGCCCCGTACCTGCCCCACACTCACCCAGAGCCTCGTGGCGCAGGACGGGGGCTGTTCCCACCACCAGCCCTGGCCGGGTGCCACCGGAGCCCAGCGTGGCCTCGAGGAGCGTGTCCAGCCCCAGCACTGGCACCTGCTCCCCCGCGAACAGCGCGTCGTACTGCAGCACCACACTGCCCTCCCTGCAGGGACACCCACTCGGAGCTCGTGGGGGCAGACCCCGTGCCCAGCACCTCACCTGGCACTGCCGTGACCCCACAGCATGTGACAGTCCCTGCACCCCCGTGCCAGGGAGCATCACGTGCTGCAGGGCTGCACCAGCACCCACCTGATCCCCGTCACCTCCAGCCGCAGGAACCCAGGCACCGATGTGAAGAGGGGAGTGACCTGCACAGGGGGGGAGCTGAGTGCAATGGCCCCCAACCCACAGCCCCCCAGCCCCCCTGCACTCACCGTCTGGTTGAAGCTATGCAGCAGCTCCTGGTGCTCGTGGGACCCGGGGTCCTGCAGGGCTGGGACGAACCCCATGTCCAGCACCAGCTCGCAGGGGACACGCAGGAGGGATGCTGCAGGAGGAGATGGGGACCAGCATGACATGGCCCCACCCCAGGGGCCACCACCAGTGACCCCCCCATGTTGGTGGCTCCCAGGGCCTCTCCCCCTCCCACCATGTTCCAGGAGAGGGTCCCAAACCCCCAGACCCACCTCTCAGGAGCGGGGGCTGATCTTCCACAATGAACACCTGCGGGGCCCTGCCCGCCCCAGCTGGCATCAATCGGGGGGCATCAGTGTCCGGCTGCCCTACAGGGCTGCTCGATGGCTGGGCCAGGTCTGTGTCCTCCACAGCTGGAGGGGACCTGGGGCCCCCATGATGGCCCAGGGTCCCATCGGGATCGGTGGGCTGCTGGGGGGCCCTGGGCATCACAGTGGGCACATGAGTTGGGGGCCCCCACGTCAGCCCTGCCACATCCCTCTGCAGTACAGCAGCACCAGGCTCTGGTGTGACCGTCCCCACATCCCTGGGCAGCTCTGGGCTGACGGTGGTGGCTGTGATGGTGGTGGCTGTGATGGTGGTGGCTGTGATGGTGGCGGCCACAGCGGTGGCAGTGATGCCAGTAGCGGTGGTCGGTCCCAGGGAAGATGCAGGCTGGGATGAAGGTGGCTGCTGGGGGGGCCCAGGGGCTGAGGGAGGGGCCAGGCTGCCCACTCCCACCCGGGTCCCCTCCTGGATTTGAGGGCTTTCAGCAAGACTCACCCTTGAGTCAGTGTGGGGAAGCCCTGAGGAAGGGTCTCCTGGGGAGGTGCCCACAGCAGGGGCAAGCCCCAGGACCCCCCAGCCAGTCCTTGGGGAAGACAGCAGGGTTGGCAGAAGGGTCACCGCCCCACTGGCTGGGGCGGGCTGTGGGGACAGGGGGACATGGGGGGACCCAGGACTGGCATGAGTCACCCTGCTCTGCACCACAGCACTGCTGCTGGGGGCCAGAGGGGCTGGGGACTGCCCAGGCACAGCTGGTGGGTTCAGAGGGATGTGACTTTGCTCAGGGGAACCCCCCCTGTCAGGTGGCTCCAAGACTCCTGTGGTTGGGTCCAGGACTCCCCCTGGGACAGAGGAAGTGAGCCCTGGGGTGCCAGCTGTGGTGGTGGGGACAGGCAGACCCGACCCCCTGCCTGTGGCAGGCAGTGAGGCTGGGTCTGTGCCCATGGCTGGCCAGGCTGTGCTGGCCGCAGGCCCCTCATGGCCAGCAGCCCCCAGGGACAGCGCAGAGAGGCGAGGGGCAGAGTGGGGACCCTGCCATGGGTGGGAGGCAGAGCCCTGTCCTCCTGCCAGCCCTGGCCCCGGCAGCCCCTGGTGTGTCCCCCACAGTGCCCCTGTGGGAGTCAGCAGCCTCTGCAACCCCTCTCCAAAGGGTGACATCCCTGTTGTCCCCAGCACTGGGCTGTCAGTGGCCAGCGTGGTGGCTGTGTGGGTCCCTGGGCTCCTATTACCCAGCGGGACAGTGGCACCCGGGCCCTCCCCAGCCCACGGCTCGGGGGACGAGGAGCTGTGTGAGCCCCTCTGGCTCTGCACAAGGACTGTCCCTATGGACCTCCATCCCATCAGGGTGTTGGGGGATCCCCTCTGTCCCCCAGCAGAACCCGGCACTGCCATGGAGGGCGATGAATGCAAAGGGGTCTCCTGCACGGTCTTTACACCTTCCACTGTCACATGTCCTACAGGGTCAGTCCCGAGGGGGTCCGTGGTGGCAGGATCTGTGTTTGGCTGCACAGGGGCGGGGGCTCCTGCACTGGTCACCCCCAGCTCGCTTCCTGCAGCTGCCTGCTCGGTGGTGCCTGCAGACGCGGGAGGCCCCGGGTGCTCAGTGGCTGTTCCACCCCACACTGCTGGCCCTGTTCCCTCCCCGCCCGTCTGGGGGCCTCTAGGGCTCCCCTGGGGGCCGGAGGGCTCGGCTGTCCTGGCAGAAGTCCCAGGGAAGGGCAGCAGCTCAGCCTCTGTCCACAGCTGCCCCAAGGTCTCCGGTGTTGGCGCCTGCCCCGTGCCAGCTCCTCGCTCTGGGTGATCTGGGGGCAGGGGCAAAGTTGGGGGGCACTGAGCAGGGGTAACCCATGGTCAGCACCCCACAATTGCCAGAGCGGCACCCTTGGCCCCATCGTGCCACCCACACACGTGGCTGGCACGCAGTGCCACAAAGGGCCGCGAGTGGAACGGTCCCAGCCCCGGGGGTACCTGTCCGGCAGCGCTCCCCCGCCGCGGTCCCCAGGTGGGCGCAGGGGTCGGCAGTGCCCGGCGTGGAGCCCGTCCCGCTGCCCAGAGCGGGGCAGAGCCGCGCACAGCATTCCACGAGCACTGAGAGGGGAGGGAGCAGCGCCCATCGGTCCGAGCACCAAGCACCGGGCATCCTGCACCAGCACGGCTACGGGGCGCGGCACCCCCGGAGCCGCCGGCGAGGGTGGGGGACTCGCTTTCTGCCCTCCGTAAACCGCGGGCAGCTCTGACGAAGGAGACGCTCCGGAACAACCCAAACCCAGGTGGGAACCACCTGCCCTGGTCCCAACGAACGGTGCCAAGTCCTGCCCCACCGCCACACTCCGGCTGTGCTGGGAGCCCCCGGTTTGCCCAAACCCGACCACCCTCCCGCAGAGCCGCCATGTGCCAACGCCGACACCGGCGGGTCCGCGGGCAGGGCACGACGCCAGAGCCCGGGGGAGGGCTCCGGGCAGGGCTCCGGGGCCCGCGGCGGCCCCTCTCCAGAGAGAACGGGCGATGGTCACCGCCCGGGTGGGGCCGGGGTTGGAAAGGAGGTCACTTCGAGCCCCCCGGGCCCCGCTCTCCGCCAGCACCTCACCGGGGCTCCCGCGGGCGCAGCACCCGCCGCCTTCGAGGCCACGGAGCCGCCCGGGCCGGTGGCACAGCCCGGCACGGAACGGCCACGGCACGGCAGCGACCGCGGCTCTCACCCACCGCCCCCGAGCCCCCGCGGCCGGGCCCGCCCCGAGCGGGTCCTGGTGACACCGAGCAGCAGCCGCTGCCCCCCACCCCAGCGGGGACCCGGCTCCACCGCAGACCCCCGGGCCGCCGGCACTCACCGGCCCCGCCGCCGCCGCCGCCGCCGCCCCCCAAGCGCAGCATCCCCCTCCCGGGAACCAGCGGGACCGGGGCCCCTTCGCGGCCGTGCCCACCCCCGTCGCTCACCTGCGGCGGCCAGGAGCCGGGGCAGCGGGAGCCGGAGCAGAGGGAGCTGGGGCAGCGGGAGCCGAGGCAGCGGGAGCCGAGGCAGCGGGAGCCGAGGCAGCGGGAGCCGGGGCCGCTCCATGGCGCGGCGCGGGCGGCTCTGCCAGGCGGCGGCAGGAAACCCCCGCCCGCCCCCGCTGCGGCGGGGCGGAGGCGCCGGGAACCGCAGCCCCCGGCCCGGGCCCGCCCCACGGCACCGGCACCGGAGCTCCCTCCGCCCCGGGGCGGGCGGGCCGGTGCTCTGCACTGCGACCCACCCCGAGGGGCTCGGCCCGGCCCCCGCCGGCCGCCCCAGGTGCGGGGCTGCGGCTGCGGGCTCGGCCCCATCGCCCCGCCGCGGGCTCAGCGATGGGCCGGGGCTCGGGGGGCTCCCGCCCGCCTCCCACGGGTTCATCCCCGGGACGCGCATTCGGGGCTGCCCGGACCCGGCTCTGCCCCTGCTCTGTCCCTGGCTGTCCCCGGGAACCTGGGGACATGCCCAGGGCAAAGGCTCCCCAAGGGCACCGCTGGCTGCTCTGACTGCAGGTTCCTCACATCCCTCAGGGTCACACGGAGAGAACCCAGTGACCACCCCAGCGCCAGCACAGCCTCTGAGCAGGCACCTCACAGCCATGCCACAGGGAAACCATCATGGACACAGTGGCCAAAACCACTGCCTGCCCCCAGTTCCACCATGCAACTGCTCAGAAAACGTGTCAGAGCACAGCTGGGGTGTGGAGCTGTGAAGGAGTTTCCCAGGACACAGGCCTTGCTCACAGCAGGATTGACATCGGGGCCCCGAAGGCAGAGGGTCACTTGTCTACTGAGAGTCTCATAGTAAAGTGCAGCTACTGAGAACACCCCAGGAACACTCCACCACACACAGCCTCTGCTCCATTTTCCATCCTCACCTCCCCATTGCCAGAAGTTCTGTTACCCAGTGACACTTCCGTGGCTCCTGGCCTGGCAGTGCTGCTGTGACACGTGAAAGTGTTCCTTTGCTCAGAGGAAACACCGTGCAGGGTGCAGAAATAACCCATTCCTGCCTCAGGAGCAAGGCTCCTGCACTGGGATGAGTCAGGCATACAGAAACACCAATATGAATTTGCTGTTCAGCAGCAGGAAAGTCATTCCCCCTTTATTTTCCATCTGGAAAATAGAAGCCTATCACACAGAACTTGTTTTTTACCAGCACTGATGAAATAAACAGTTATGGGCAAGCAGGACAGAGCCAAATCCTGGGGCAGGGAAGAACAATTCCAGAGCTGTCAGTCCCTGATCCCCAGCGAGTCCTTCACACCCAAACACCGACACAGGGACCCACCCACTGTGTGGAAAAGAACAGCCACCAACACAACAATGGTCTTAACTGTTTATTCCTGTTTTTTTCTTGTTTTTAAAGGACAACACATTCAGACAGCTTTAAATACAACATCCACGTGCAGCTTCCAGATGAAAGCCCCAGCGGGACAGCGTGTGCGCTCCCATCCATCCGCACCGGCACCAGCCCAGGCCTGGTGTGGGACAGCTCCTGGGAAAACAAAATCCATGTCTAACATTTCATGAACCATTTGAAGGCACAGAAGTGGGTAGGCAAGGGCAGGACATGCTGAGCACCAAACACAGGCACAGAAGGAGCCCCCAGCTCTCTCCAAAGGCCATGGCTCAAACCCTGACCCAAAGCAGTGAAGGGACACAGGCCCCCTGCCCCGGGGATCGTGGGGGGAGGCCCAGAGCCACACAGGAACAGGCAGGAATGTGGATCAGCACTGCTGGCTGGCCCGAGGCCACCTCATTTCCCCTGCAGCCCTCAGGCTGTCGCTCCTATAACCCTTTCCTGCCCATTTCCTTCCCGGCTGTGGCTGTGGGGGAAGAGACAGCGGTGGCAGTGGCCGGGGGGGCTGAGGTGCCCCCACACACCCTCTGCAGGGCCGAGGGGCACGGGGAGATGGGCTGCCATGGCCGAAGCCTATTCACCATCCACTACAGCCCCAGGTTGAGCCAGTGCTCAACATGTCAGGTGGGACAAGAGGAGAGGCCTCTGAGCCCCACACACTCCCTCCAGCTGCAAGTGCCTCAGGAAAACACCCCCCTCACCCTCAGGAAAATACAACCCCCTTGCTCTCCCCGCTGGCACCCACAGCTGCTGCCAGCTCCCTCAAAAAGTGCCAGGCTCCCCACTGCCTCCACGGTGTCACAGGTCACCCTGCCCTGCCCTGTGTGCACCCAGGCAAGGCACGCCCAGAGTATGTCTGCACTCACTCAGCCCTGAGGAACTGCTTCATTCATAAACATCCTTCTTATCTGCAATGTAATCTACAATCTCCTGTGGGCACATCAGCTTCTCTGCATCTCCGTCAGGAATTTCAAATCCTGCAAGAAAGGGCACACACTTAGCCAAAACAATGGAAAAGGGGGCAAGGCCAAGGGAAGGGATGGCTGCTGGCCTGGGGCTGGGCAGGGGACAGGCAGGTAGGGGACACGTGGGCAGGGGCTGACACTGCATCACTGCTGCTTGAAGTGACATCACCTCCCCACACAGGACAAGGCAGGCACAGCAGAAGCCAGTGCCTCTCATGCCTCAGTAAAGCTACCAAGGCCTTCCCAGAGCTCCCACAGCCACTGGTGTGTGACATGGGGGATATTCCTGGACCCCCAGGCAGTGCCCAAAGTCCCTCAGGCTGAGGCTGGTGCTGAGGGCTCGCTCAGAGCCAACACCAGGGCAGGGCACGAGGACTCTTGGCAGTGGAACTGCTCAGGAACACCCCAGAAACGCAAGTTCTTTCTGGTACTCCTGAGCACATTCACACTCCAGCCAGCACAGGGATTACAGACACGCTGCCAGCAAAGCCTCTGAGAGTGAAACATTCACCTCGGGCTTAGAGAGTGACCAAACACCAGGGACATCTGTGGCCCAAGGTGACATTTAGGCACCTACTCCAGAATTCATGAGCTTTAAATGAAAGCATGAAGAAGTCCAAAAGGAAGTAAAACGAAACTTGGAATACAAATCGATAAGGAGAAAACATCTTTTTCTTCTCCAGTAGCATTAAGGGTTGAGGATGAAAAACATTCTGGTGAGAAAAAGCCTGGACTATCTGGGATTTGTGATCTGTGAAGCTCAGCCCAGGTGAAGCCTCCACACTCAGTGTAGCACCTACATGCTGCTGCCCCCATTACTTCCCGAGTGGTGCCAGTGTGGGGTGGAAAAGAACAATTCCTGCTTCCAAGGGGCCCAAGCTCAGGGACAGCAGGACAGGGCCAGCTCCCGACTGCTGCAGGTGCCGCATCCCCGACACAGCTCAGCAGCGGACCTGTGTGGTTCGCTCCTCTCCCGGCGATGGGTCTATGTGGGTTTCCCTGCCCCATACCGGACAGGCTGGGCCCCCCCGGGCAGGGATGAACCGGGCAGCCCCGTCCCCGTTACCGAATTCGTCCTCCATGGCCATGATGATCTCCACTTGGTCCAGACTGTCCAGGCCCAGGTCCTTCATGAAGTGGGACTCGGCTGTGAGCTGGGGGGGAACAGGGCGGTCAGCGGGACCCGGCCCGGCGGCAGAGCCCACACCGGCCCTGCGGCCCCGGCCCTCCGGTCACACCGGCCCTCCCGCCGCCCCCCGGCCTCGCTCGCCTTCTCGGGGTCGATCTTATCGTAGAGCTTGAGCACGTAGAGCACCCGTTCCTTGATGTCGGCCAAGGTCAGGGGCGGCATGTCGGAGAAGCGGCGGCATGGCAGCGCGGCCGCGCGCGACACCCGCAGGAGCGCGGGCAGCGCGGGGCAGCCCGGGGGGGCGGGCGGGGCGGGCGCGGCGGGCGCGAGGCGGCGGAGGGCGCGGAGGGCGGCGGGGCGGGCGGGCGGCGGGAGGAGGCGGCGGGCGCAGGACGAGAGGACACGGGCCGCCATCATCGCTGTCCCGGCGGGCGCCGCGCGGGGGGAGCGCCCCCTGCCGGCCGCACAGCGCCCCCTGCCGGGCGGAGGCCGCGCAGCGCCCCGGTACCGGCCGGCACCGCCCCCAAACGGGTCAGGCTGGGAGGGAGCACAGCGGGTCACTGCTCCCACCTCCCTGCTCCAGCAGGGCCAGCCCAGAGCACGTGGCACAGAGTGTGTCCAGAGGGGTCTGGAATATCCCCAGGGAGGAGACTCCACACCCGCTCTGGGCAGCCTGTTCAGCGCTTGTCACTGCACAGCAAAGTTCTTCCTCCTGGCCTGGTGGAACTGCCTGGGCATCAATTCCTGCCCATTCCTTTTGTCCCATTTCTGGGCACCCCCAGCAGAGCCTGGTCCATCCTCTGCCCCCCCTCTGCAGGCACTGACAGACATTGGGGAGGTCCCCTCTCAGTGTCTCCTCTAGAGGCTGAACAGCCCCTGCTCCCTTGGCATTTCCTCATAAGGGAGATGCTCCATCCCTTCAGCATCTCTGCAACCTCCTCTGGACCTGCTCCAGGAGCTCCATGTCCCTCCTGTCCTGAGGAGCCCAGAACTGGACACAGCACTGCAGATGTGCCTCCCCAAGGCTGAGCAGAGGGACAGAACCACCTCCCTAATCTGCTGGGAAGGCTCTTCCCAATGCCCCAGGACCCCAGTGGCCTTCTTGGTTCTCAGGACACACTGCTGGTCAGGGACAGCAGGACAGCAGGTCCTTCTCCACAGCCCCCCAGCAGCCTGTGGCCATGCTGCCCCCCAGCAGCCCCCCAGCATGGCAGTGCAGACACAGAGTCATCCAAAGGCAACAACGTTTAATGGCATCGCACACACCCGGCACACCCGGCCCCAGCAGCAGCAGAGGTACCGGTGATGGGATCCTGCCCCCCCGTCAGGCAGCTCCCGGCTGTGGCTGCCGGTACCGGTACAGGCGGACGGTGCCGTCGTGCTGCCCGGCCAGCAGCCCGGCCCCGGCTGTGGCCCAGCGTGCCAGTGCCCAGCGCCCCGCGGGGCCCGGGGGCAGCACCGCCGTGCACCGGCCCCGCAGCAGGTCCCACACGGCCACGGCGCCCGACGTCAGCACGGCCGCTCCCGCCGTGTCCCACACGTCGCCCTCCAGGTACCTGCAGGGACACGGGGGGTCAGCACACAGCAGGGGTCTGCAAAGACACCACGCAGGGCAGTGTTTGTTCCCTTGGCTTGGGGTTCAGGTACAGATTAATGGCCAACTGCAGCCAGGCTACAGTCCGGGCTGTGCCTCCAGCGCAACTGCGAAGGGAGAAGGTCAAGAAAATACTCCTTGAGACTCAGAACATACTTGAAAAAGGTGTACTCTTAAAAAAGGGGACTCTTAAAAAACAACTCTTTAAAGAAAGCCCCATCCCTGGAAGTGTTCAAGGCCAGGCTGGACAGGGCTTGGAGCAACCTGGGCTAGTGGAAGGTGTCTCTGCCCATGGCAGGGGGTGGAATTGGACAATCTTTAATGTCCTTTCCCACCCAAACCATTCTGTGATTCCATGACTATTCAGTAAGCAAGATCTTGATCTGCTGCTACTCCCATACGTCCATCACATTTCCTGTGTAAGGAACACTGCAAGGCTGAGCCTTAAAGCTGAGGCTGAGCCTGCTGACACCTCAAAACACAAGGCATGGGAAGGAAAAGGCCATCTGCCTGCAGCACTGCTCCACACAAACCAACCTGGCCCGGGGCTCCCCAGCAGCCCAGAGTGCCACTGCTGCAGGCAGCACCAGGCTTGCCTGAGGAGCCCAGGGACACAGGCCCCCAGTCCCAGTGCTGGGGGCAGGGGGCCAGGGCACAGCGGGAAGTGGGCAGGAAGAGGCCCATCCACACCCCCAGCCCCCCCCCCAGCCGTGCACCGGACACGCGGCAGCGCCGGATGCAGCCCCTTATCACTGGGGAGATGGCAACGGGATCCCTGCCAGCTCCACTCGCCGGGTCCTCCCACAGCCCCTGGAAGGAGCCAGCCCAGCCCCCAGCACTTGCCTCCCCGCAGGGCTGGGGGGGGGAGAGGAGAACATCACCCCCCGGCTCCTGCCCGTCCTGGGGTTGAAGGCCACCACGCGGAACGCTGGGTTTCCACAGGACTCGCTCTCTTTGGCATGTGGATGACTTAAAACAACAAACAGAAGGCCCTGATAGAGAGAGGGAAAATACATCACTAAAAACAACAGCAGGAGGAGAAAAACTCAAAGAATTTTCCAAAAATTAACAGCTGCAGTCTCTCTCTAATCACAGCCCCATGGACAGTGATACATTATTTTTACTGAAGAAAACAGAAATGGTTTACTTTCCTTATCAAATAAGATAAAACCCAAAGCAGCTGCTGGCTGATAAGGGCTGATGCAACACAGCAGAGTGACAGCTCAGTGACTCGATGGATTTATGCATTTACCTTCAATCCTCTAGAAACCTCAATCCTTTGTGTCCCCAGCCCAGTCAGTGTAGCCCAAGCATGAAGAGAATTTCATGTACATACGGAGTCAGAATACGCTCGATGGCAGATGGAAGCTGGGTAGGAATAACCAACGTGCATCTTCCTCAGGAGCTGGCCTGTTTTCAGATTCCTGCAGTTGGTGAAAACACAAACTCTGACACATTTTCATCCTCTAATCACAGTTACACCACTGTGCAGGATGGACACGGGTTTGGTTCCACATCAGCCAAACAAGCCAAGAGGCCACAGGGAGGGTGTAATGAGAATGATGCAAAAGCAACGGAATTACAGTAGCACAGTTCATTCCCTGTCCATGTGACTGTGGGGCCACACTGCAGGCCCTCTGACAACCACCATTTCCAGGGTGGCTCAGCACCCAGCCAGCACTCCTGCACAACCCTGCAGCTTTCTGCTACAGCCCCCACCCCCCTCAACCGTGTAATGGCAGAGGAGACACTGACCACACCACGATGCTGTTGGCAGCAGTGGTGCCCACCAAGGCCTCTCTCATCCCTTCTACTTCAGCAAAGGCTGTAACAGTTTCTTCAGGGGGCATCAGGGTCTGCCTGTCCTTGCTCCTGAAGGGAGATCAGCACATAGAAAAGCAGCTGAAAAAACAAGTGCCCAGCACCACTCCAGGAAGAACAGGAACCCACTTTTTCTACATCCAAGATGTTTCCTCACTTTTGTCCCACCTGCCACAGAGACCACCACAAACCAGCACCCCCAAACTCACCCTCCTGTCCCTGAGAGCCACACCATCTCCACTTGCTGCTCCTGCAGGGTCCTGCTGCTGCTCACTAGCCTCTGGTCCTTTAGCCCAACAACTGCTTTTATATTCCCAGATTTCACTAGGGAGTGCCTGAACAAGTCAGTCTCAGAAGAATAAAGCAACGTCCTAAATCAAGAGACAAGCACATACCATGACAGGAGGAAGCACCACTCAAACATGCCATAGCATATACAAATCAGCCTTTGTTTACTCAGTCTGCCAGCTCTGGGGTGAATGAATCAGTCCTTATAGCTGACTTTTAGAAATCCCTTGCACCTTTTCCAATTGCTAAAGCAACTGAGAAAGTAACACATTAGTAAAAAGATAATTTCAGCCACTCCTAAGATAGTAATGAGAAGAGCTAAGCTGCAACTTCTTAGGGTGCAAAGCGCTAGTAATAAATAAATACAAAACCTTATTTCTCCAATCTCCAGCTCTCCCAGTGCTACACACACGAGGTTACAAGTGTCTGGCAGAGGAACGATCTGGATTACAGGAATCTGGGACAGCAAAACAAGAATTCAGTGTCACCCACAGCATCCCTTTAACTTTATTCTCATTTTCTAGACTGTTTCAAGTAAAATGATGTGGAGCAGAACTAATTTTCAGACCACTCTCAAGAAGCACACTTAGACAAACAGCTGAACTGTCTGCTGCCTGTTTACCTAATTAAACAATCCCTGTTAATATAAGAGGCAAAAAGTGTCTCTAAGGAGTGTAAGCGGAAAGAGCACAAGGCAGTGGCTGAAGTGCAGCCACCATTCTGTGCATGGAGTATCAAATTCCTGTAGGTAACTTGTGGCCATAGAAGCTACAAGCTCCTTGTATCTTGGGAACTAACACATAGGGCAAGAAAACTGCCATAAATTCTAGAAAGAAGGACCGTGTCCATACCTCTCCCAGCTGCCAGGTGCAGACCTTTCCCCAGTGGTTGGGTGCCAGAGGTTCCCACAGGGACACGGAGCTCTCGGAAGCAGTGACCACATGCAGCTCCCTGCAGCCAGCTGCTTCCCACCACACTGTGCTCACATCCACGGCACAGGAACCTGAGGAATCCTGCCCAAAACAAACAGCGCTGGTTTTTCTCTGATAGACATGATTATCAGTTGCATTTTTGTTAAACTTGGTCTTGCAAAGCTGCTGCTGCCACAGTAACAATTCCCTGCTGTTCCCCCACCTTTAGCTCCGACACAAGCTGCAAGTTCTCTTCTTTGGGGCCATCTGGCAGCACTGGAGTCAACTGTTCTGCTCCATCATTTTTCTGCACAAACAAGTAAAGGAGGAGGATAGTTCAACTTTGAAATGACATTCAGCACCTGCAAGAGCAAGGCAGAAGTGTTGTGTGCTCTGTCACAGTCATGCAGTCACTCTGCATGCTGTTGCTGGAGAGCCATGATCCATGCAGGACTAGCATGCAAAGAGGCCTTTCCCCTGAAGTCAGACAAGACTCTGGGAAAGGGGATTTGCCCACTGGCTTAGTACCTCTGGCAAAGAGCTCAGCTTGTTACCTGTTCAGGAGAAGCTCTGCAGGATCCTTGCTCTTTGCTCTCTGACTGCTGATGCTTACCCAAGGCCACAGCCTGATCAGATTTATTCTCAGGACCTCTTTCATCTGCTAAAGCAAACATGGTACCTTGTTCCTCCTCATTTGTGGCAGCCCCTGCACCACAGCTGTCCGGGAGCAGTGGCATGGCAGGGTCCTTGTGTGCCCCATCCCCCAGGACCTGGGCAGCTCCTCTGGAGGAAGGCAGGGTCCCTTGTGAGGTGGGCACAGAAGGTGTGCCTGGTAAGACCTCACTGTGCACTGCAGGTAAAACACCTGGGGTTGCACCCACAGCAGGGAAAACAGACGAGGAAATCTGAGACTGGGTGGGAGCCCCAGCTAAGACAGTCTCCATGGGAGTAAACAGCAACTCATGGGTGGAAAGGTCCTTCTTGGAAGCCGGGCTTTCCACACAGGGGAGCTCGGGCAATCTGGTTTTGGAAGGTGAAATCAAGTTACTTCTGAGACTTTTTTCTTCTGGATTCATTTGTGCACTTGGTGTGTCCCGTGGAGCCACACCATCCCCGGACACACTCGGAACAAAATCCTCCAAGTCATTCACAGGGGAAGATTTCAATTTCTCCAGTTTCAGTACTCCAAATTCCTCGTTTGGTAGGTGGAAGTCCCTGATGCCCAGCCTGGGGACCAGCCACTGGGGGCTGCGGAAGGAGAAGAGGGAGCAGCGAGTGTCGGGGTCTGCGGCAGGGAGGCCCAGAGCAGCAGGACCCTCTGAGCCCGTGGGACAGCTGTGCCCTCTGCTGCTGTCATCTAAACACAAGAATACAAGAGAGAACATCAGCAACTTGCCTTTTCAGAATCTCTCATCCAGACTGCCACTCCAATATATTTAAAAAAAAAAAAAGAGCCATATCCATCCTAAGACATGGAAGTGGCACTTTTCTAGAAAGACATTACAATCTGCAGTTGCTCTGCATCAATCCTTCAGCTCAAAGGTCATGTCCAAAGCCTGACAGAATTGAGCGCTTGCTCAGTTTGGTTTGTTGGGTTTTCTCCCAACACTTTCACAATATTCACAGACCCTCAGACTCTCAGGTTATGTCTTGTGTTTCACACTTGTTAGCACTAAAAGAAAATACTCATTAGTATGCACACTCAATTGGAGGAACTGATGGACACCCATCTGCTGGAAATCAGCTCCAGTGTGCACAACCTTTGCTCCAACAGCAATGGCAGCTCAAGAAGTTCTCAGCCCTGCTCCTCTGCTGTTCATTCACTCCCTGTCACTGGGCTGAAGTAAAAGTTTCTGGAATTGTTCAAGGAACATGGGCACCACAATGACCTAATTTTTTAAAAAATATCTTGTTTATAAAAAAAAAAAGAAATGGTTAATCCCCCTCATATTTCCTGACTAAACACTGCAGGGTGTGAACAGCAGGGCCTGCACTCACCGGACGTTCCCCTGCCTGTGGGAATGGGAGTTCTGGGGAGTGCTGACTGTAAGGCAGTACCTGCTGAGCCCTGCCGGGCGCTGTGTCTCGCAGAGCAGCGCAGGGAGCGGCGCAGGGGGACGCTGATCCCAGGGAGCGGCTCCGCCCCGCCGGCTCCTCGCCGGCTCTTCACGCTCGCCACTGGATGTTTATCAGCCTGACACACAGGCGAGTTGGCTTCCAGATCTCCCACGTGCCTGGCAAAAGTTTCATTCCCTGGGCTCACGGCATCGCTGCTCTGAAGTGGATTTTGAACCTGCTCCAACAGGCATTTCCCCAGCACTTGGCTCCCTCCCTGAGGAGGATCAGGACCCGCTGGCTGTGCAGCTTCAGTCACTCCTGTCTCTCCAGACCCCAACGCTGCAGCACCAGACAACTTGCTCTCATCTGAGGATGACTTTTCAAGGTTAGCATCACAGTTTTTCTTTTCACTCTGGCTCTCACTTGACAGCAGAGCACTGCTTTCTCTGGCCATTATGAGGTCCACACTCTCTATAAGCTCCTCTGACGCTGGACACACGGGGGCTTTGCAGGCAGACCTTCTTCTTCCCTTCTGTTTCCTCTGGGATCGACTCTGCTCTTGCCTTGTGCTAATGATGCTTTTCTGAGAAATGGATCCAAGTGAAGTGCTGCTGCTGCTGGACACAGGAAGAGATTTCTCAGAACTACTTGAGTTTGCTGGATCCTCTTCTGCCCCAAGAAAAGGGAACGGCATGACCCCTGACTCTGAATCAGCCTTAGCTCTCTCCTGGGAGGGCTGATCTGAGTTTGCATCTTTCTGCTTGCACTTACTCCGCTGACCTTTCTTGCTCCTGCCCAGCTGGCTGAGGATTACAGCATCCAGGTCCACCTTCCTCTGGCAGTTGGACATGCGGCGAGTTGTCCTGACGTAGTACTCGACAGGGAAGAGCAGCCCTTCCACCACTGTGCAGGAGCTCAGCGTGCCCTCGGGAGCCGTCGCCTCCTCGGGAGGAAAAAGTCTTGACTGACTTTCAAGCTGTTGATTCTCCAACAGTTCTCGAGCACTGCCCAGAGCACGATCTGCAGGACAGGGATTTAAGGTATCGCCGTCACTTTTATCTCCTTCATGGCTTTTGCTCTCCTTGGTTACAGCGTTATTTCCGTCCTCAGGCAATACTTCATTTTCTGACACTAAATCCAGGAGCCCACATAATTCTCCCTGATCTTCATGCAAACTCTCACTGTCCAGTTGTTTTATTACACTGGGGCATTCTTCTTCTCCATCACCTCTGGTGTCAAGTAAAAGAGAGTCTCCCTCCTGTGAACATGGCTCACGGCTGCCAGGTGTGGTCACAGCCCTTGGGCACTTGAGCTGCCAGATGTCACTGCTGTCCCTGACCACATGTGGGGACAGCTCAGGCTCTCCTGCAGTGACACTGCCCTCGAACACCTCCTGTACAGCTCCTGAGGCAGCATCAGGAGTGAAACTGTTTTCTTCTCCCTTCACAAGAGCTGGCCTGCATGACCTTTCAGGATGTTCCTCAGTGTGCGAGAGGGTGCTGTGCCTGAACACTGGTGACTGAAGCTCTTCTGCACTGGCAGTTTGATTTTTCACTGTTTCATCAGTGCTGATTACATGCCCATCATGCACTGATTTCCCTTCCCTTGATTCCAGAGCCTTTGTCTGTCTCCTCAGCTTCATCATGCCTCTGGAGGTTTGGGATGTTTTCTCCTCAAGGACAGGCCTAATTATCCCACAGCACAGGTTTTCCTGGCTGGCCTGAACACTTTCTGCCCATGAGCTGTCCTGTAGGTTAACCTCATCATTGGAGAACTCTGGAATGTGTTTAAATGTGACAGATGTTGCCTCCTCCATGTCAACATCAGAGCAGGTTTTAGTCTGTAACTGAGGGAGTCCACCTCTGTCAGCACTAGGAGATGCATTATCTTTAGAACCTGGGGGAAAAAATGTCACACGTGTAAAGTACTCTCAAAGTCCTGTCCAAGAAAAACATCACTTTGTTAGGAGGAAAAGATGGGGATCTTACAGTCAGGATCAGAGCACTGGGGACCTGGTGAGGAAGGAAGCAGAGGAGATGTTAGTGCAGAGCACGGCTCAGCCCAGGGGAAGGGCCGTGTGCGGGTCTGAGGGCAGCAGATGTGGCAGCAGCGGCCGAGGGGACAGCGGGTTGAGGGGGTCGGCAGGGCCGGCCCATCCCGGCTCCGCGGGGGCACTGAGGGGCCACAGTCCGGGCCCCGGACCCACCGCCTGGAGAGGGTAAGGGGGGGCACAGGGCGGCTGACGGGGTCCCCGGGCATCCCACCGCCCCAGCGCGAAGCTGGGGCGTCGCCCACCATCTCCCACCTGGGGGGCTCCGCTCCCACCATCTCCCACCTGGGGGGCTCCGCTCCCACCATCTCCCACCTGGGGGGCTCCGCTCCCGCCGGCCGTGGCTCCTGGCTCGCTCGGCTCGCCGCGCCCGCTGCGGACACACAACACCCCGGCGGGGCTGGGACCGGCTCCCGGGGCCCCGGTGCCCCCCGCCGTGCCCCGGCCCGGCCCTGCCCGCTCACCCGCAGCCGGATGACGGTCTCGCTGTACTCCCGCCTCAGCAGCGCCAGCTTCTCCCGCAGCTGCAAGAGACACCGCGCCGGGCTGGGCTGGGACCGGGACCGGCCCTGGCCCCGCCGCCGGCCCCGCGGCCCCGCCCGGCCCCGCACCTTCTCCCTGTCGGCACCGCTCAGGGCCGCCGCTGCCCGCGGCTCCTCCATGGCAACCGGGGCGGCGGCAGCGCGGGCGGAGGTGACGCGGCGGAAGCGGGGCCGGGCGGGGCGGCCATGGAGCTCAGCGAGATGCTCTACAACAAGTCCGAGTACATCGAGACGGTGGGCCCGGGGAGCGGGGGCCGGGGAAGCGGGGGGGGCCGGGGAGCGGGACCCGAGCTGAGCTGGGCTCGCCGGGGTGTTGCAGGGGCGGCGGGGCCCGGGAGAGCCGCCGTGACGCGCCCGTTCTCCCCGCAGGCCTCCGGCAACAAGGTGAGCCGGCAGTCCGTGCTGTGCGGCAGCCAGAACATCGTCCTCAACGGCAAGGTGAGAACATCGTCACCGTGTTTGTGCCTAAGCCCGGCGTTGTGTCTGGCTCACTCTGCTGCTCGGGAGCACAGCCGCTGGTTCCAACCTCCTGTGCTTTTGCTTTGTTCTCGCTTTTCTTTTGACTGAAAGAATCCTCTCTAAGGTAACATAATCTTGCTGGAGTGACCAGACCTTGGCATGACTCTGTGTAACAACTGCTAGGAACGGCTAGGAATTGGATCTCACGTACCTCTCTTCCCTTCTGCAGACGATAGTTATGAACGACTGCATCATCCGTGGGGACCTGGCCAACGTGCGGGTGGGACGGCACTGCGTGGTCAAGAGCCGCAGCGTCATCAGGCCGCCCTTCAAGAAGTTCAGTAAAGGGTAAGAGGCCCCTTCTTTTTGGGAGACACCTGAAAATATCTGTCAACTTGACTGAGACTTTTATTCAGAGAACCCTGTTCTGCAGCAGTTTGCAGAAATACATCTGTCTAAACCTGTCTCTCAAATGTTCAACTGTGCCTTGAGGGTTAGTGTTCACTTCAGGCCAATATGGAAAAGCTGGGATATATTAGAATAGCAAAGTAAAGAGCGTGTTTCAGTTGCTCTTTGTTTATTTACATCTTCCTGGTGCTCATTTGGGCCATCCTTTAGAAAGAGAAGAGAAAGACCAGTTACTGTTTTGTCTCCCTTAGCACCAAATCCACATCTGCTAATCCATCTGGGGATGGGAGACTCCACAGGGTGATTTTGGGTCTAGCAGTGTCAGTTTGTTTGCTGTGCACCAAACAAATACCTGTCCTGTCACAGGGTGGCTTTCTTCCCTCTCCACATTGGTGACCATGTGTTCATAGAAGAGGACTGTGTTGTCAACGCGGCCCAGATCGGCTCCTACGTGCACATAGGCAAGAACTGTGTCATTGTGAGTGCCATTTTGTCCTCTCTGCAAACTCCTGGGTACTGCTGAGGCTTTGGGACGACAGCTGAGAGGTGTCTGCACCAGCTGGCTAGAGCAGGCGCTTACTCTGCGCTGTTCCTTCCTCCTCCTCTTCCTTCTCTGCAGGAAGCAGGGCTTTCAGGTTTGCTTTTCCAAGGACAGCAGGTTCAGCTGCTGCTGGTTGGAAAATCCATCCCAGCAGTGTTGTCCCCATGGCTAACGGGACTGCCCGGGGAAGGCAGCCTGGCCTCAGAGAACAAGTGGAGTTGTGTTTCTGTGCAAATAACACCAAATAGTCAAGGTTGTTGAGGTAGAAAAGGTCTTGCTGGCACTACATGACTCGGGCCAATTTGCACATTGACTTGTTAATGTGCAGCTACCTGTACCTGTGCTAGTTAAAAGCAAACATGTTTTTCCTCAAAAAGAAAAGTTAATTCTGTTGGGAGGAGCATTCAGTCAGGGTAAAGAATTATTCCTGTGATCCCTTATACAGAATGTGTTTTGAGCAATTAATCTTCTTGAAATTTAGGTAATGTATCAGTAATAAGCAAAAGATCTCGTGTTTATAGTTTTTTAAGTATAAACTTTTCCTGTTCTCTGTTTTAGGGTCGTAGATGTGTTTTGAAAGACTGCTGCAAGATCTTGGACAACACAGTACTCCCTCCTGAAACTGTAGTCCCACCTTTCACTGTTTTCTCAGGCTGCCCAGGTATGCTCCCTCTAACTTCTCTTTCACAGAAGTGTGGATAATGCGGATATTCTTATTTTAAATGAGATTGTTATAACAAAGTTGCTTCTTAGCATTTAGTGCCTAGAAATAAAGGTATCAGGCAGTTGCTGCACTGAAAAGTAATAGTTTTAACTTGTGAAACTCCCTGCCTTAGTGCACAGCAGATAGAGGATGCATGATGACTGATGTCAATACTGTTGTTCTTCTTCCAGGACTCTTCTCTGGGGAGCTCCCGGAATGCACCCAGGAACTCATGATTGACGTTACCAAGAGCTATTACCAGAAGTTCTTGCCACTCACTCAGGTCTAGTAGCCTATTTCCCATGTTTCAGGCACACAGGAGCATTCTGGGGGTGGGGAGAGGGATGTTGTCCAGTGAGACCAGGGCCCGGCCCTCCACTCTCCTGAGCACTTGTGTGAGTGTCCCTCAACACCACCAGCCTGGCCAAGCAGTCCCTTGTGAAAGCTGCTGTGTCCTGTTCAAACTTTGTATGCTCATCCGATGTACTCCATTCCACGTTGTCTGCACTGTGCCACTGAATGTTCTGGAGCTGGGAAAGCTGATACACCTGCCTTAGGGCAGCAGCGGGGGAATGAGGCAGAGCTGACATGTGCTCTGCAGCCTCAGCCTGTCTGGTCAGTTCTGTCCTAGCCCAAAGCCTGGCCTTTAGGTTTGCTAGCCCAGCAGGGCTGTTTTGGGTGTGTTCCGGACACCTACCGAGGTTTGTTAGACCCAGGGCTTTCCTTTGGCAAAATCCTTGCTGCTCCATAGGCCTGTGGGCTGAGATGGATGGCCTCTTCCTTTTCTCCCTGGGATTCTCTTCTGTAGGGACATCGTTCATCATCCTGCTATTGGCTTTAGGAATTTTGGCTGACATTGACACCTGTCTTTCTGTGCCTGACAAGGATGTTTCTTAGCTTTTAGCTCCTGAAGCAGACTGACATCAGTCCAGTGCTCTCACCCCTCAGGGTTAGTGTTCTTGTGGCCAGTGTGTGTTCTACTTCTGAACATCGCAGACCTTAAAGAGCCAAAGGCCTTTGGGATGAGGTTTGCCATGTCACTCACAGAATTCAGTGCAGCAGAAAGTGGGTAATTAAGAGCAGAAACCAATGGTGGATGAGAGAATGCTGCAGCTGTCCCCATTTATTACCCAGTGTCTATATTTGCAGCGAGCTCTTTGGTGCTTTTCTGCATTATGAAGCTTAGGAATGAGACTCAGACTTCTTGAAAAGAGTGAACATTTAATTTTGGACATGTAGTAGAGCAGGAATAGTTCTTTCTGGGAGCAGCTCTGAAAGTTGGGAGGCATCTGATGCTTGTATATCTGACTGAGTACAGACAACTGGCTGCACATGAGTCTGCCTGCTCTGGTTGTACTCTGCTAAAGCTTAGCATCATACTGCTGTAGGTTTTAAGCTGGGGCTCCTGCATGTTGTAGTGTAGCAGCTGGGGCCAGGACATTAGGTGTGTAGTAGGTGTGTGGTTGTGGATGAGCAGCCCTGGAGCCCTCAGCTCATCTGTGCAATGCAAATGCTGATAAACCTTAATAGCAAACAGCTGTACAAGTACTAATGTGTGTAGTAGCTGCTGTTCATCACATGTAAAACCACTGACCGGTCTGTTTGTATTTTTACTGTACATAAATTAAAGCCTCTCCAGTTACTCAAGTGACTCAAGGTTGTACCTCTTCAAATCAAACTTGAGACTAGACTGAGGTTCCTGCTGTGCCTGGGCGTGAGCCACAGTCCCTTTTTCTGTGACTGTTACAGGCTGTTCTGGCTATCAGAGTGTCAGTGCATTAAAGAAGTGAAGTACAGAGTGAAACAGCTGCTTTCTCCCTCTGAGGGGTTGGAGAGGCCTCCCCTGTCACCAGACCCGACACGTTTGGGGCTTCTTGTGAGATTCTCTGCAAGTCCGGTGTTCAGAGCGTGTCCTTGGGTGTCCCTGGCAGTGTCTGGCAGGAGCGTGGTGTCTGTGCTGTGTTGCCATGGTGTCACCTCAAAGTTTCAACACCACATCCTGCGTTTCACCGGGATCGCTTGATCAGCAGCTGCAGCGGCTGGCAGAGGGGTGCAAGGAGGGATGTGAGTTGGGATGGAGTGGGATGGCAGCTGGAAAAGTGCGAGTGATGCATTTCCACAATCACCTGAGAGCAGAGCTGTAGAGCATGGAGGGATATGTCACTGCAATTACATGTTTCGTGGCCTACTCTTCCTTCTAACAGGCTGAGCCAACCCTTCTGCCTTAACTAAAACCTCTTTTATTGTCTCTGTTAAGGTGGCCTCTGCCAGGGCCTAAAACCAAGCTGCCACTGAAGATCCCTAACACCCAGCACTGTTAACATTCCTTACATTGGCCACTTTCTCCTCCTGTCTCTGAAGCATCCCTCTGACCTGGGCTCACCTCTCCGCCTGTGCCAGCTCTGGGAAGATGGAGTGTCAGTGGCTGCCACAGCCCAGGGAGTCCCAGCTCTGCTGGCAGCGTTCGGTCCAGCGTGGTGCAGTAAAACCTGACCCCTGGGGGCTGTGTCTGTAGCCAGAGGAGCTGCAGGAGTGGGGAAGCATGTCCTGCAGGGAGGGGAATGCCTTCTTTCAGGAATCCTGTACAAACATGGAGCACTTCAACCCCCAAGTCGCTGTGTTGCTTCATTGATCCTGCCTTGCTCCTGTGTGCTTTGCTCCGGGTTGCTCCAGCCGACGGGCGGGCCATGCTGCCTGTGTTTCGGGTGTTCAGAGTCCCTGGAACACACCTCCCGCTCTGTGCCAAGCACCCATGGCTCAGCAGGAGGAGCTGAGGTGGCCTGTGAGGGGCTCTGCGGGAAGGTCACGCAGTCACCGGGCGAGTGGGGGCTGTGTCTGCTTTGTGGGGAGCAGAAGCTCCCGAGATGATCCAGCTCCATGGGGGGAATGGCTGTGGTGATCTGCAGGGCTCAGGGCTTGGTCCTGTGTGCTGGGCTCTCCAGGACACCCTGGGGACCAACGGCCTGTGCCAGTGGGTCAGGGCCAGCTGGGGCACTGGCTCAACTCCCAGGGCCAGCCTTCTGTTCTTTGTTAGCCAAGGCTGAAAGAAATAGCTACTGCTGATGGGGAAGGAAGGCCAAAGGAGGTGAAGTCCCTGCCCTCATCCTGCTTCCAGCCAGGTGGGACTGTGTGTACCTGGAGGCAGAGAGCAGGCACCTGGGCTGGGCCACTGCTGCTGGTTTTGTGCCCTTTTGGGTTATTTTTCATTGGTGTTTTGT